GATTTTTGTTAGTCGCATATTGTACGTTCATGGGTTTTGCTAAATACGTGGTGTGGGGCAGAGACACCACCGTCCTGACCTCACCTTAGCACAACCACCCAAATTAAACAGGAGAAATAAGTTTTTCTCCTGGTGAAGATCACTGCAGATTTAATTGACTAAAAAAACAAAAAAAAAAAAAAAAATGTACAAATTTACACATAGCCTCAGTCCTAGCTGCTTCAACATGCTACTTAGTCAAAGCAAGGTGAGTCAATGGTTGAGTTCATTATGACAGGGGTGACAATGGAGCACTACATAATATAATATTATTATTATAAAATTATATACATGTGTTTCTATAACACATAACCAATAGCTAAACACATTTTCAAACAGCTATAAGTATGGCACGGCCCACGAAATGTTGGCACAATAAAACCAACATATAAACCCACCAACACTCACCCCTCTAAACTAAATGCAACCCCCTCCCCCCTCAACCCCCCGTCCCAAGGTGGAACATGAAAGCAGAGCGCTCCCATTCTACAGGTACCCTTTATGCTGTCGGACCAGGAAGTACAGCGGAGCTAGCGTAAGTACTTTTGGGTACGATTCTGTTACAAGTTGACTGGTGAAGCGGCAACAGTGGGTACGTCACTGTCCACTATGCTAAATGGACTTTGTCGGTTTACGGTGGTAGGGTTTTTTGGTGTAAGATAGTTAAAGATAGTGGTAGGGTTTTTTGGTGTAAGATAGTTTTTAAAGTTAAGCGGTTTAGCGCTTAGCATGTTGTGAGTGCATTATGGCTAGTGCGTAACTTTGGCGCTGTTTCTACTGCAGGGAACATCGGTCCCAGGGAAACAGGAAACAGTCAGAAAGTGTCCTTGCTTTTTACCCATGCCCATAGGGTAGGGGTAATTTCACAACTGAGCTGAGTCCTTATTTTACAGGAGCTGTTTGTGATTAGCGCTACATGCTTGGGATTAGTTGAACTGATTTTTGGTTCAGCCAATTTCCATTGTATGAAAACATTAGGTTTCCAGTTGGGTAAATTGAAGCAGCCTTAAAACCTCCATCTGTAAGGCCTTAAATATATTGTCACTATTGTCCAGTAATACAGGGCACATGAGATAATCTACATATTAAAATACATTGAATTGTATGTATATCCAAAACTAAAATGCAAAATACTCAAAAGTGTCCAAATGCAACAGTAATGCAATAATACCTAATACCGTAAAAGTAATCCCAATGTAAACCAAACTAAATAAGGTGAGGTGCAATAGTGTTTGACCAGCAACCCATGTGAAACTTGAAGTCTGGACTTCTTTTATCAGAGGTCATGTGAGAATAAAATGTCAATGACACAGCGACTGTGAAGTATTTTCTGCAGTTTAACTGCTGTCCATGTAATGAACACTATCATATGTCTAGAGTGTGTGTGTGACCAGAGAAGACAGCTCTGCCCTCAGCGGGTGACCTTTCTCACATTTAAACAAAACATGACTAACTCGGTGTAACATGTTCAGCCACGGGACAGACGTGCCAAAGAAATATGCAGTTTATGTAATAGAATAAATGTGTGAACGACCCTGAGGTGTTTTCACCTTAATTAACCCAACAATTCTTTCCCTCCGCATCATGTGACCAGTCAGCGATGAAGGCAGCACTTAGTCGTTCCGGTGATCCGTCTCCGCCCAGGCAATCTGCTGGCACCATGGAAGGTGCCACAGCACATTAGCAATGGCGGCTTGATGGTGAGCTGCGGCTCACTGTGCTGGAGCCCCTCCTCACTGAACCCCCACAGGCGCGCTGATACCCACGGTGGCTAACAGCTTTTGACTTGCAATTAGCCAGCTCACTTTATCAAAGGCCGTGGGAGCTGAAGCAGTGGTGCAGCTAGGACCAAGTTTTTCAGCTGCTGTGTTTGCACGTGAGTGCGTGTGTGTGTCGGTGGAAGAGTGTGTTTGTCTGTAGGGTAGAAGGGTAATTGTGTCAAACAGATGTTCTCAACTCATGAAGCAGCCGCGCTGCGATTAATCATCATGTCCAGAGTCGCTGTGCAGACCGACTCCCTCGTCACTCTAATTCTTTTTTTTTTTTTTGGAAATCACTTCATACCAGGGACAGCAAATTAGCAGAGACTTAAGGGAAAAGTGCTATGACCTTGAAATGTTCAGCTTGGAGGCACATAATCTCTCTTTAAAAAAAACAAGTAAAGATTTTTGTAATAAGTAGAAAATGGTTCTAGGCTTCTGTTACCCATATTGATCCTTTGGTTTTTGTCACAATATTACTGTAATTTTTTTCCAAGGAATTAATAAGCTATATTATTAAAAACTAATATCAGGTAACAAAAGTATCAATTTAACTATATATTTGGTTTGTTTTGAACACAAATGCCTGAAAACCTGGCTAAGAAATAAGTCTTTAAGTTTTAACAAAAAAGACAGAAAAAAATATATATATATTTTATGGGGCAAAAAAAACCCACCTTTATAAATATTAAGAAATGAAAATTAAAGATACATTTTCACTTTTATCTTATCTCCTAATGGAATTGCGTTAACTCAACCAAAGGTGGCGACTGTCATCTTAAGAGCCCCCTCTCTCCTCCACTCACCAGGGTTTGTCTGGTCTGCATCCAGGGAGGGGGCAGAATTATATCACTGACCTCCTCCCAGTGATGATGAATTCTCAGCCCTGAGAGGACCAGCCGTCCCGACCTCCATTTGCCAAAGATTAGATCCCCTGATTACAATGCCAGTCCCACCTCTCCCGCCCCCCTGGACCACTTTCTTGTTT